ACACGTTTTTGCCCAAAAATGTAACAACTCGTGAGATTCGCTCACATACCTAATACTTTGCTATACCTTACTCGTCTCAAACTCAACCTGACCTTACCTCACCTCAACAAAATTCACCTTAACTCACCTTGTTTCAACTCACATCATCGGGAATCACGAAAATCCTATACGTCCCGATATTGTCTCATATAACGCGAAATAGTCCAGAAAATCTCGAAAATTCTCGAGTCTCGAGAATTACGAAATAGTCCCAAAGACCCGAAATAGTTCAGAAAATCTCGAAATAGTTCAGAAAATATCGATCCTTAACATATAATTTTTTCAAGAGCAAATATTGCGAAATTTCAGGGATAAAATTTTAAAAGGACATTTTCAATACTTGCTATTCCTTATGTACCAAAACATTTAATCTGATTAAATTCTACTGAATTTCCTCTTTAATTTGATACCCATACATCTTCTCTAAGCACATCTCTCTGAATTTTTTATATCATTTTTGAATTACCGACGTCAGAGTGAAAAACTAAAAACGAAATATTACTATATCAGGATTTTTGGGACCTAAATTACAATCCCGGGGTCCCGGGATTAGCATTCCTAGCGCTGATATTTTTTCGAATTTAAACATTTAATGCGTAATTTTACTCTACGCAACAAATTTTGAATGTAAGAATAAACAGGCAGTGTTTAATTTTATTAGCACGTTGTGAAGAGTTGCGCACATTAGGAGAGGAAGCTTGCAAAAACTTTAAAATAAGACTTTCTTATCTTATAAAAAAGCTGCGGATCAAGAATTGTTAGTGAATAGATATCCGCCGAAATTCGCAACAAAACCAGCGTTTTGTTATCTTTAGGCCTAGAATTACCACGCCCATTTCTAAGAGATTCTTGAATCACAAAAAAAAATGTCTGAACAAATGTTTTTAAGGAAAGGATATTCTGCCGAAATTGACAATAAAATCTTAATTTTGTTAACTTTATTCCTAAACCTCTCATGCCCATTCGTATGGGTCTATCACATTAAGCCAACATTTTCCCAAACAAACACTTTTATTGGGTGGGTACTCTACTGGGGTCCGCAAGAAAATTAACATTTTTGAAACAGCGTGGTTTTTGACACCTTGCTTAAGTAAGGTGAATCAAAAGGCTCGATGGACGTTACGATCCGGCGAATGGACGACGTTGCTTTATCAAGTGACTCGTCTTCGACTGAAGTGCATATAACTGGTAACGACAATACCCTTTAGTAAATGGCTTTAAGTCACATCGACATTTTTTATTGGCTAATGGCTGGCCTTGGGTTACGCTCGAAGTTCGACAACATTAAAACTGTGTTCAGAAATGCATCAAGCCAAAACATCAGGCCTTATTTACGCAACTATGTTCCAATTTGGAATTAAACCTCTATAGGCATAACGATAGAAAGAAACAGAGTCTCATAATAGTTGAGGAACAAAATCTACATAAGAGACTCCTGGGCACTGAAAGAAGAGTACCCTCGAAGAACACTACTTTAAAGCCGATCGAAACGACTAACCGCTGATAACCTCACATTTGAGCAAAGAAAACAAATATTTATTAGTCTTTATTATAAGTCTTTTTCTGCAGAAGTAAGGGCATATCCATGTGTGTGCTAAAGTATTGAAGTTTACACACATATGATTTAATAAAATCATTAACAATTTCACATAAATATGCCTTGCTAAGAGATTCCCACGTATTAAAGAACTCCGACAAGCACCCCCTTGTTTTACAGACACATAAATGAAGTACAAATACATATATATGTATAAATAGATAAAAAATTAAAAAAAGAGAGGGAGCAGTCTTCCCACAGAAAATCGAAGATTCTCATGCGATTTACGTTTGAGGAATCCCCTAAAGAATAACCAAATGAGTTGTCTAGTTACATACATATGTACATATGTATGCAATTGCATATTGAATTGACATATTCTTAACGCCCTCTTCACACCATCAGATCTAGGGGAGAAATATCGCACCACAAAAACATATGTGTTTTCATGATCGAATAATACAATAACAACTGGTGCAACATAAGCTGCATTCCTGCATTTGCATATGCAAACATATAGTGCATACATATGTATGTATGTGTGTACATGCAGTTCCATTGCAAACAAATAGCGCCGCTTAGTAATTGTTTGGAAAATGAAGGGAAACGCATTATTGTCGGTGCAACGAAAAAGCAGAGACAGTTGTCGTTGGATCTTTTGATTTATGAAGTGGCAAGTAGAATTGCTTTTCACTTAATTAAATTTCAATAATAAAAAAGAGAAATACACTGCTACTTATTCAGTTTTTGTAGTAATTCTGTAGATGCGATTTTATGTAGACCCAATCTGCCTTTGTTCGCGCACAGGGACTCGAACTAAAATATTTGAGATCACACAGCTGAGTTTTACAAATACATATATATTTATAAATACACGAACTTAGCATGTATATATATATGCCTGAGCATAAATTTTTTTTATTGTGTTGATTTTAGTATGCTTTCTAAAACTATTTTATAGCTGTGTCTTTTACGAAGACGACCGTTGCAAAGGCATTAATCTTTCATTTTAAATATTTTAAAATTTTTTGAATCCTATTTACATATGTACATATGTAAATATTTCAGCTCTGAATAGAATTGAATTGTTTATAAGCTCATTTCTTCTTAATATTTCCTATACTACCAGCCAATATAAATACATACATATGTGTACTTATGTATATATATAGCTCATTTAAAAAGCCAATTTGATAAGACTCGCGATAAAATCCATTATGCAAATATCGAGACAAGATCATTAGCCGCATTAGCTGTCGATTGAGATGCTGATTTTTATAGCGGCGCATAAATACAAAGCAACTTAAAGAAAACTTGTTCAATGGGCATACATACGTGGGTATGTATGAATATATGTGTGCAATAATACAGTAGAACTCAAAGTTGTGACAAATTAACAAAGCGTTAGAGGTAAGTTATTTGAATAAGACTAAGTTAAAAAAAATGGGGATTACCTTGTCGAGATGATGCATAATGCCCACTCTGCCTTGAGGACGAGAAAATTGTTGAACACATTCTTTAGTTCAGCCTTGTTTGCACAAAGATTACTCTATTCTAAAGCTTCGATGGTCAAATCCTTAGTAATAAGCAATTCGACTACCACAGACCATTTAGAATTCATTAGGGAAGCCGAGGGCGTCTTGGGCATAGTTAGTTAGGGAGTATCTTTAGAGATACCAAAGACCTTTCAGCTGTAGAATTCTGACACGCGCTACGCTAAAATTTTTGGCGCTAAAATTCTCTAAATGAAAAGCTGGGGTGTTTAAAAGTTTTACGATTTTTGGCGATCAAAATTAAGGATAGATAAATAATATTGGAATCGGGCTGCAGGTATCTTGTTAAGATATACCAGTGCTCATAACTAATTAACTAGAGAATCATTATCTTTTAAGTCGCAGCATCATTTCTGCTAGCTAGCTAATTTTCATCTCTATGGTCAAAGAAACTATTCCTAAGAGTTCTCTTGAAGATCATATGGAGTACAGAAGAAATGATTCAAACGCAATCGGGAATGTTTTTCCACTATACTAAAATTATGTTACTTTTCCAATCTCACACCATCTTAATCAAGAATGTTCAGCGAACGCCGAATAGGTACAGAGAAAATGCTCCTCACACAATGTCCAATCCGTATTCACGCAGTAAGGCTAAGCATAATACCGCATCCCCTATGTCGCAGTAGCCTGGGAGATTACGAAGTGGAATCTCCTCAACGTTACCTTCTTAAGTGCCCAACGTTTGCGGGGATAAAGATGCAGTACTTTGGCACTCACGTCCTTAATAGCCCCGAGGAGCTCTGGGGCATTGAGATTAGCCGAATTCGTAAAAAGATATTAGGGTCGGGGGGTTTTATCGACTAAGTATGGTATAACAAAGGACAATCTACTAATTGTCTGAGTAAACCCGGTTACATGCGGTTGCCACCTACCTTAACCTTACCGTCGACAAAAACTTTTGTTTTAGGAACCATTCGGTAATGACACCGAATGCAGAATTTCTTCTAGCGATTGAAATTACACCAAATCAGCGCCTTTAAAAAAATACACGAGGAGACCAAATTAATCTCTACATTTATTAAGGTGATGCCAAGGATAGTTTTAATTTCCCAACTATTTGCTCAAGCTGCTTTTGAAGGACATGTACAGGCGTTGGAGGCTGAAACCCTGGCATGCATATTCCTAATTTTTTTAGTTCGATTCTGTTCTGTGTAGGTTCTATCCTTCGAAAAGCAACTTGATTTCAAAAATTCGAGATAATTTTTACGATTCGCCGATTTCTCACGTATCTAAGAGCAGAACTCCATATCAATCTTGCCGTATTTCCTACCATCGCTGTCTTAACATCAGCTGTCATTTCGAAGTTAGAGAACTCAGTTTTCATTTTACCGCGCCATTTACATTGGGTACAGATCGATCTGATTGGCTTGATGCCATATGCCCACATGAGAAAACGGGACAAAGTTAACGCAGAAATTCGACAGAGGTTAAGATACATTATGTAGAAGGTGGAGACGTGGGGTAAGGGAAATGCATTTGATCGTTGCTATGATTCCTAAAATGATCTTCTCGCAGTGAATGTCCAAATATGTAAGTAAATGTAAACGTTAAAACGAATAGAAATTAAAAATGTACAATTGCCAACATGACTATCGCATCACTCCGAATCAAATACTTTGACCTCATTAACGCCTCACAACTTATCCTGATCGCCACTGTAAAAATCAACAAGCAAAGGTTTGCTCATAATTAGCGATCAGCAATGCAATCATTAGCCAAAGGTTTCGCGTAGCTCCCCCCAAGCACTCGCATTGCACCAATTAGTTGTTATACCCCAGCTAGCTGATCTTTCCGATGGCACTGATCGTAGTCAAGCCCCTCAACTCAAGTACATACATTGTTGCAAACTATTTAGCACTCGCACTTACCTGATCGCGCGCCAACTGGAACCACGTCTTGATGATCAAAGCCAAACGTGTGTCGTGATAATTTTTCGTTGTCTTGACGCTAATGAAAATGTCATCGAGTTCAGTGATCGGCGGTTGTGGCGTCGCTGTAACGGCACGCTGCCACAAATCGTGCAACAGTTCACCATTTCGGCTGCGCCGCGCCAAATCGTCCAGCCGTGCCGCCGCTGTTGCATCCTCCTCATTCACCTCAATGTCGGAGAAATTAAAACTTGCTATATCCTTGCGTATAATGTAAGTTGTTTGTGTATGTGTGTGTATATGTGCGGCTGCGATTGTGGCTGATGATGGCAGCAGTGGGGGTGGTGCCGGTGCTACTGCCGCCCGCGCATTTACCGTTTGATGTGATGCAGATGGTGATGGTGGTTTTGCATGCGCTGTTGCTGCTGTCCGTTGACTCTTCAAATTTGTATGTTTTCGTTGTTGTTTATGCGCATGTTGTTTTTGTTCCTCGTATGAAGTGAGCTCTTGTTGTTGTAAGCTAGTTGACTTGCGCAGCTTTGGGGTGTGTATTGGTTGTTGCTGTGCTCCAGATGCAGCCGGCAAGCTGGTGGAGGAGAGCGTTAACAACGCGGGCGCGGGCGCGGGCGCAGGCGCCGGAGCAGGAGCAGGTTGTGTGTCGAGTATGTAGTGTTTCTGCGTTGGCAGTTGCTGTGACATAGAAAAAGAAGATATGCAATTAAATTTTGTTGGAAAAAAGTGTCTAATGTAGATATGTCTCCATATTACTGCCATAAGTAAATTTGTATTTATGTGCCCAAAAAAATGACATGTGAGTGGGCTGCTTTTCCAGATGACAACCCAAGTGAGAATTGCATGCTTAGCTAGCAAAGCTACTGGTTCTTCTTGCCGTTTCTTAATTTATTTCTTAGAACTAGAAGCCCTTTGCCAAAGACAGAAGCACATCTCAACGCCTCCGCGCCACTTAAAAAAAGATGCATATCGGGACACACTCAGCAGCACTAGCACACTATGCCTATGTACATATGTATGTAGATATGTAGATAGGTACACACGCATTCGAAACCTGTGTGCATTTCATTTCCAGTGCATTTACGTACACGATTCCTGAAAACCCACACGCATGCGCAATGCAAAACCACAAATAAAACACTCAACGAAGAAGATCTTAGGCTGCAGATTGTCGTTAGCATACATGCTTCATACATATTTAATTTGTATACATATACCATGTACCTAAGTACGCATATACATAGTTTTTATGCAAGTAAATCTTCAAGAAAGTACTTCTTAAGTGCAGAGACATGCGATTGATGTTGCTTTTGTTTTTTTCTTTATCATTTGTAGTCTGAGGCAGACAAGCTCATTACCAACGCATAACAGAATCGTACCTAAATAATAATAAAAGTTCTGGTAACTTTCTAATAAAAGTAAAAATATAGAGGACCGAGGAAAGTCTGTTAAAAAATGGGTATTTCAAAATTGATAAAAAAATAGCTGCTACCAGAAGAAATTTCATTGCGATTTGAAATAGAAATTATCCAGGCGTCGAATCAAAGATTTATTAAAAAAAAATCGCTTGGAAAAACATCTTTATGTACTGATAGTTTTTTAACAAATTAAACTACGTACAAAGAGTAAGTCAGGTGGAGAACGACACTTGGTTGCACTCCCCTGGGGTGCATGGGGCACTTTAAATGGGCTTCGTGTATGTGGCAAGGCAGGGGAGTCTCTTTTCAATGCGCGTATTCCACTTTTATGCCGAAAATCCTGGCTGGAATATATGTAGCTTTATCTATTAGCTGAACAGAGGATGCTCTGAATTTCCTATGCGCTGGATAGCACGATACAACTGGCCTAAATTTTATGAGGTAAGATAAGATTTAGCTCTTAACTGGAGCGACCTCAGTTTCGACATATAATCGTGGTTATTAGTGACCCAATGCTGGCATGCGGTTGAAGGACTTCTGTCGTAGCTGCCGCGATGTAGAGAAAATCGAGAGCTCTCTACTCTCCTATCTATGAGTTTTTGATTTTCAATAGAATGACGGGGAAGGGTTCACGTTTAAACGATTCGATAATTCCAGTTATTCGTTGGCAGATAAAGGGATTCAGAGTATAATCTATCCACTTACACTAGTCGTCTAAAGCTCATTAATTTAATTAAACGACTCATTCCGTTATTAATGTCAAGATCGGACTAGATTTTGACTATAAAAAAACTATAATTTCCTCTCTCAATCATTGTAATACTATCTTGAGCATATCCAAGCAGTTGATAAAATCGATTCGGTATAAAAAAAAAAGTTCCGTGCGGCTTGGGGAGTGCGCCCCTCGTGCCGGTTGGCGGCAAAGGAGGGTAACCTGTGGCCAAGACAGTGCTGACAACTAGCCAGACAACTTCTGTAAATCAGCAGTTCGGGCATTAAAGTAACTCCAGTTCCTTGATATCTTTGCTGGCATCTCAGATTTTTGAACTTTTTATCTGACTATATTTCACCTTACCTGTAGTTTACCGAGAGGGTCACACATAAGAAAGGATATCCGGCTTACCAAATAACCAAATGAACGGATATTAACCGGATATGCGGATAACAAAAAGGATCGGATACTAAGCGGCTATTCAGATATTATTTGTATACAAAAATATCCGAATGTACGGATAGACCCAGCCTTATTATACATACATATCTACATAGTGGATTCATGAAAAGTGCAGTAGTGAAAATTATTTCAAAACTTAAGCCACTTGAGAATTGATATGTATGTAGTTGTGTGCGCTTAAAAATTGTTCCTTGTTTTTTATTTTATTCCACGATTTTATCATTTATTTGTGTAAACAAATGATAAAAATCTTCCACAAACGGGCATGCGCAACGAGTATTTGGGCAATACATATATGTATGTACATATACATATGTATATGCACATCCATGTGTATATGAACGTAGGTGTGTAGTTGCCTACATTGTCCCTTCAAGTGCAAACTTTGCCTAATGTGCACTTAAACGAAACATAAAACATCAAAATAAATGATAACGGAAAGAGTAAACAAACTTCAAAAAAAAGTATAAACATACATACACACATAGATCAACACGCATGCATTCATACCTACCCTGCAGTGAAAAGCCAATCAGTCAGTAAAAATACTAGTTCATTAACTAGTGTGTGCTAAAGCGATGGCCTACCAAATCGACAATAGCTAGGGACTTAAAGCATTCAGCGACATCTGCTTTTGCATTGTCAAGGCCAAAAATAAAATGCAGTTAATTCCTTTTTCTTACAAATGTCCGCTGTGGCGTTACGTGAAGACTACCGGTTCTGGTTCTGAGAGCGCAGGTTCGAGGCCGCTTGAAGGTGGTTTAGATTTTTCAAATTAAATCAGTGTAAGTAAAAATAATTATTTCAGTTTAAATATAATAAATAACAAATTTGAAAATCGAATTCCATTGCAGAAAAACCTACATATGGAAATAAGTACTTGTGCCATAAAAAAATATAAAGTTGAACTTTTTTTATTAAATTTAAAAATTACAATAAAAACCCTTAAAAACAAAACCCTGCACCATAACTTGAGCATTGGACGTCAGGAATACCACGCAAGTGCTTTGCTCTGTCGGCCATTCCGACTGTTGGAGCGCCGTGAGCAACATACTTATGCTTTTCACGAGCGATGAATTGGCGGACTATCTCATCAACTTGTATGATGCTACTAGTATTTCAACTAGTAGATGCTGATGTATAGCCTGACAATTGACCTTCCGTAGGACATGGCCATGTTAAAAATACCAGTCGCTAACATAGAAAAATGAATTATAGTTCACAAGTAGTAGCTTTCCCTGCAGGGTATGTACAGTATGTATCAACATATGTACATATATAAATATGTATGTATGAATTTTACTATGCTTGCATTTCTTCAAAGCAAACTTGGCGCTCACATTTCATTTTTTATCGCTTTTCAGATGTTGTTGCAACGCGATTCACAGAAGGAATAAAAGCAATGCAACAAAGGTGGCGGCCGCAGCTGATGGCTAACACAAAACAAAAACAAAATAAAATTTATGCCACATACACAGGCAGACAAACAGTCAAACAGAAAGACAGAGCGTCAGTAAGAGCAGCAGCAGTGTCTGATTAATTTCTTCTGATAACAGGTTCATTTGCTTTGCATTGCTTTACGCACATAACAAACTACATACAAAGTACTTAAGGCCAGATTGCATTGTGAATTTGTTGTTGTTGTTGTTCTTTTTTTTTTTTTGTTTAAATTGTAGTTTAATTTGTAAATAGCGCGAGCACGCATGCGCAATGCACAATTACAAGGATTGTCTACGCATACATACATATGTAAATGAGTACACGTTTGTACAGGGCCGTAGGGAGTTGGGCCGGGCCCTAGGAAAGATGCCGTCGGCAGGCCGCTTAAATTTAAATATTTTTTTTTTTTTGGAAATCTATGAAATATTTTTTAGGCTTTTCGGTCAGCAAACATCGAGACGACGCATTCATAATAAATGCTACGAGCCACAACATTCAAATTTTTTGATAAAAAAAAATAGTTTTTGAAAATATTCTATCTGAAAAAAAATTTCAAAAAATCACAATGGTAGCACTGAGTATTGCGCAATATTTAAGTAGCGCTACGGGGTGCACTTTAGAATAATTTAAGTTATGATTTTTGTTTACACCGAAGTTGAGTAAAATTATTACATTACAAATTTACAAATTTTTAAAATTTTTTTTTAGAATTTTTTTCGAGTATGCAGTTTTGAAGCCCATTAAATTCATTACTACTGCAAAATGTCGTTGATTTTTAATATTTTTTGTGCTGACGGCTTTTTGCACTTTTTTCTTATGAAAGAAAATGCGCAAAACCGTTTTCAAAGAAAATTAAAAAAAAATAAGGCCAATTTTGCAATCGCTTAAAACTTGCACTCTATTATACTAAAAATTAATGGGCTACAAAACTACATACTCCAAATAAATTAAAAAATTTGTAATGTACCATTTTACTCAACTTCGGTGTAAAAAAAATTATAACTCAAACGAAAAACTCAGAACGAAAAATGACACTGAAGATGGCACAACGCCGAAACCGGTTTGTCTGCAAACCAAACTTGACAAGGGATGACGGAAATTCGTTCCAAAATAAATCATCTTACCACCCTGTCGGAAAAATCAACCAACACCAACACATAACTCAAATTGTTGTAGAGTGCACCCCGCAATACTATACTTAAATATTGCGCAATACTCAGAGCAAACATTGTGAATTTTTTTTTTTAATTTTTTTTGAGATGGCATATTTTCGAAAACTAATTTTTTCTATCAGAAAATTTGTATGTGAAAAGTTTTTCAAGAAATCATAGAGAATTTTTATGTGTGCATGTGTGATTTTTTTTTTTGAATTTTTAAAAATGTATTAATTAAGCTCAAATTTAATATTTATTTATTATTTATGTTTATCCATCAACCCTAAAAATGTAAAACAAATCAAACACATGAAGTGTGAACCCCGTCCATTTTGGTATGGAACACCCTATATGCACTTTTACACTCATCATGGAGACATGTGTTTTTTTAGCCATATACTTACATATGTATGTACATAAACTTCTTCACTTTTGGCATTTTCTTCGAAGGTATGCGTACATGTACCTATGTACGTATGTATGTAAGTAGAG